TTGGAATGGAAAAGAATAAACGACTTTCATCTTCGATCAATATTATTTTATTCAATCATGAAGCCTTCCACGTAATTGAATAGTTGAAGTAGTCTTGAGTCAATAGTGGAGCCGTTACTTCCAAGGCGTTGGATAATTAAAAATGTAAAAGAAATGCTTATACGTACACACGGGAAAATCACCCGTTGCCCCATTATTCCATGTTATAATTGGAGGAAAAATAATTTTTTTAAAAATGTTTATTTAGAAAAGAAAGAAATTCTTTAGAATTTACGTGTAATATTATTTTATTGGAAAACATATGATTAATAAATGGAAATGAATTATAATTTAATGAAGACCAAATGGTGGCTATTATTTTGTTAATATTTAAACAATTATGCTACACTTACATCATTTTTTACATTATTTTTTATATTTTGTCACGTGACAATACATCATTGAACAATTTAATTTTTTAATAATTTTTTACCCAATCAACACTTGTCAACACATGTTATGTCAACCATAATGTCGAAAAACAATGTACAAATAGCATTTTCTATATTTAAAATATGTGCTATCAAGAAATATGATGTCATTTGGGTGATATAATCAAAGATTTTCTTGTGATTTTTTAAAAAAGTTCACTTTTAAATTTGTTTGTTTAATATATATTCTTTATGAATCAATTTCTAGTTTAGCTTTCTTCCCCACTTTATCATTATGTTTCCTCTCTCCTTTACTTGTGTGTTTCACATAGCCCCAAACAGCGGCGGATTCAACGCTCAGCGAGCTCCGGTGGCCGTCCGTGCTAAATTCGCTGGTATTCAATATTTTTTTTTTTGGTCAATGTATTTATTTATTTGAATATATAATTGTGATTTCCTTTTATTCACATAATACTATGGTAATTCAATTGGTTAGTTTACCGTTTAAGTAAATGGAATCGTTGGGTTCGAATCTCAACTATAACAACAATCCCTTTTAAAATTATTTTAGTTTAATATTTTTCACCATTTTGGAGCATATGAGCATTATAAAAATCGGTACAATTGAAAGATTCAAACCTGTGATCACTGCTGGAATTATCAAACACTTGACAACCATGGCATGTGGTAGATGTTGATATTTTATCAAGTAATAGGTATTTTAAATTATTTTAACTAAAATTCAACCTTACAATGAGATTATTAAAATAATCATTTAGACTGAAATTATTAGCAAATCGAAACAAGAAAGTAAATAATTAAACCCATTTTTCAAATTTCAAATTGTTACTCATTAAATGTTATTAGACCGATAGATGACGTACACCCAAATTTAAAATTCGAACTACGATATATTAGTAATTTCAATTCACGACGTTGGTTATTATTGCAGCAGTCAACAATAGCCCGTGCTCACTCAAAATTCTGGATCCATCATTGGCCCCAAGTTGGTGAGCTGTTGAGGAGACTTTTATAACATCGAGTCGCACAAGAAATTGCGAGAAAAGGAAAGAACAGGGAAAAATGAGAAGCACGTATTAAAATATCAACGGAAAAGGACACCATGCTTTTGGAAAATGTACAAGAAATTTCCTCAACACATTTGAAAAGACAAGCCAGAGAATCGTGAGCCAGACTATTGTGTGACAAATAATAACCAAGATGATACATAACAGCAATTTATAAGCAATTTCCTTATAAAAACACTTTTTAGAATTAATTATTAATTCCAAATAAAAACTTAAAATTCACTATTAATTTCTTGCAAGTAATTCTACCGGCTTAACTTAATCAAGAAAAAAATAGTTTATTTTCTTTTACATGAGTGATGCTATTTGTCATCACTTGTTAACATCGTCATGTTTAAAAGGGTTTATCATATTAATTAAGTTTAATTACTTTATAGAGCTACCACAGGGACCTAATCGGACATCTATTTTCCAACCTCTAATAATTAGAAATGTCTAGTTGACTCTAGACCGTCAAATTTAATTATTAGTTCTACTAAAGGCAAAAGACTGAATTCCTGGCATATTTAAGATCACAGAAGTCGGAAACTAATAAATATGTAATACTTTCCTCTGACCTGCCGTGTATGTATTTTATCCTAGTCCGAAATTCGATAATTAAGTACGAACATAAAAGACCGTTTTGTTCTTCTAATTATTCTCACTAACTTAAGTATCATTTTTTTCAACAGTCCTGTGATCAAATCATAGATATTGAAATTTAGCCATTGCTAAATACCGATCTCAGATTTTAACCATTCAACAAAAAATACTTAAGTAATCACTCCACCCATTTTTTAGGACGACGATTCTCGATACGAATTAATGTTCTCTACTTCGCTCATTCTCAAGTTCCAAACTTATCGAGATATTTGATCAATCAAATTGATTTTATCCATTGATGAATCAAAGAATCATAAAAATCATAAAAAGATATACATAACTCTATCAATGAATTTAGATGAAATACGCAGCAGTCAAGAGGAATTTAATTTTACGCACAGCTATGCTATAGAATTAAATACGACACGTGGTCCGTTCAATACACTCTAATGTACTAATGTCACATTTAACTATTTTTGTGATAAGGAAAAATCACAAATCCGAATAGTGAATCGGACAATACTAAAACCTTCTGATACAAAGTTTCTATCCTTATACATAGGTAGTTAACAAATTATTTATGATCAAAATATAAGTTATGTCACACTATACTTCTCAACGCAAGTACCCAACTTATATTATCACAAGTGATTATAGACACTTTAATTCGCATACTCAATAAATAAATGAAATAAAAAAATTTATTTAATATAAGAATATTGTTATTTTTACATCAGTAAAGTTTATATGGGCACACAACCCAACATTTTCCATATTTAAAATATGTGCTAACAAGAAATATGATGTCATTTGGGTGACATAATCAAAGATTTTATTGTGATTTTTCTCAAAAAAGTTGTTCACTTTCAAATTTCAAATTTGTTCGTTTAATATTTATTCTTTATGAATCAATTTCTAGTTTAACTTTCTTTCTTCTCCACTTGATCATTATGTTTCCTCTCTCCTTTTTTCATGTGTTTCACTAGGGTCGTAATTTGATCAGATATGGATCGGATCTGTCTATATCCGATTTGATAATCCAACAGATATTTAATTGTTAAATTTATATCCGATTTGCTATGTTATTCGGATATCCGATCCGATAATTCGCTCCGAAATTAATAAAAATTAGGGAAAAAAATCAATGTTCTTTAAAATTTTTTGAACTAACTAGAGGCCCAC